TATTGACTCTGGAGTTGATCAAAATAATGCTGTTTTGAGCCGAAGATTTGATCAAAGGCAGCACTTGAACTTACACTTAATGCGTACTGCGAGTGCGCTTTCTATTACGGCAGAGGTGCGGGTTCAAGCTTCGCCTGGGGTCAGACTTATGTCCATACTCACCATACTTGTGGTGTCTTACAGAGACGAATTGCGGCACTGAACAGCAATTATCATCCTAGAATCTTGTTTTCAGTGGTTCAATGGATTCGTCCTTCACAGCTCCTGTGCAACATCGTGTCACTGGAGCAGTTCCAGTACGACTGAATGCCAGCCGCGTTCCGAATGTGCGGTATTCATCTACGGAAAGTCTGAACTCAGTGGATTCAGCTGAAAGTGACCCTCAGGATACGATCGAAACTCGTCTTATCGCAACGCACCAAACATCTCGTAAGTAGCGGTTAAAAGCTAAGAAATTCCGCAGTGTCCATGATTGCTCTGCTTTTTTCAGCCGACTTCTGGGTGGCTCTAGCGGTATTGTATCGTCGGCTTGTTGTGCTCAGTATTCAACTAACTGACGATGAAGATATAACCAAAAACAAGTCGAATAAGTGAGCGCTGTTTCGGATGTTAGTGAAAATCCGGTCAAGTTCTTCTTTTCAGCAGTAACGGTGTTGATCCGCAAAAGAACGTGTTGCTCTCGCGTTTGATATCGTGCACTGGCAGTCAACGTCGTCCTCTTGCCACCATGAACTGTGCTCGGTGCTCAATTGGAGCATCATTTCTCAATGGAAAAATCATTGTTTGTGGTGAGCTTGGTGTTATCCTAAAGAATTTTCTGCTAGGAATTTCATATTTCGTCAATCTAATTATAACTATTTTTTTTCTAGGCGGCTATGACAGAGGAGAGTGTCTCCGATCTGTAGAGGAGTACGATGTTGTAAAGGGTGAATGGAAGCAGTTACAATCTATGAATGACGAGCGGGGCAGATTCGATAGCGCTGTACTTAACGGGAAGGTTAGTCGATTTTGTATGCATTTTTCGTTCCGATGCGGCCTGAGGGGAAGCATTTTGCCCTTTCCATAGTTACCATCGACGTGTGGAGCCATCAGGTGGGGACCTGAGAAATCTTGTGAAGCCATGAAGTGATGCCAGCCAAAATTTGTAGAAACCGCCTGTCAACCCTTGTAAAGAATACTTGCAACCTTTTGTACAGTGGAGCGCTCACCGGACGGTGGGGCGTTCCCTACGACCACGCCGGCGAGCGTTCCGCTGATTGCGTGACGATGGAAAGCCGAGAAATTCCAGGAAATCATCATCATTGCCCCTGCGTCTCTGACACTGACTCTGCGCTCTAACACACCCCGCCGCGCCCTCTTCTCACTCT